TCTGACTTTCATATGAGTAATACATTAATTGTTGAAAGTATAATAAGTTTGAATCCCACGAGAGAGATCGTGGATGCGCACTGTTGAGAAGTCCTATACTAGGAAGAAACGGCTGGCTTCCAAGTTTTCCATGGTGCTCTAGCTTTAATTGACTCATGAATGGAAGTATCAAATTATTATAATATCCAATAAAACCCCTTCCTGGTAAGAGTATAATATACTGACGACCTTTGGCGACTTATCTGACAACCAGGAAACTCTGCACAATTACATAACAACTAACTATAAAGGTGAATAACAGTTTTGGTTTGAACAATTAACACTAACACGCCGAATTATTCTTTATAGTAAAGGTCAATTCTACATATTAAGAGTTCGGATGGTATTCTAAGTAGGTTACCACACAAATTGCCTTAACACAAGGTATGTTTTGTCAATTAGGTTAGGAACTATCTTAAATTTACAATTTCGGTTATTGATTCCGAGCATTTCAAGGATTAGTTATCACTAAGTTAATCATAGCATACAAGTTATCTATCATTACACTTTCAAATTTGCGCAAAATATGCATGGAGTTATCTTTGTTCTGCTTGGTTAACTCAAAGCTATCAAAATGTTATAATTTTATTCATTATATTGGCGAACGTTCAGTTAGGTGTTGGGACGGCTTCCGAGAACTATGACGGAGCCTTCAGAAGCCGAAGAGTTTCCATCCAATCAGAACATGGTCGAACCCCTTAAAAAACCAACGTGAAAATGCTACTATCGTGCAGTAGCATTGTTGTGAACAAGAACACCAGTGGGGACAATTGAATATATTTCAACACAAATTTACAGAATGTACTAGTAAAACGTGAGAACCAAACACTAATTTTCTATAGTGTAATGAAGAAGACGAAGATTATCAGCACTATGTAATGAGATATCAGTGCAATACATTTCGAACAATCTGATCACACATATAATATACTTGTTAAGAACATTGATACATAAAAAATAAAAGGTCAACTAGACTGGAAATGGAGGAAGTAAGAGTAGACAAGGATAATCATAATAACAAAGATAATGTGAAAACAATTTGACACTTAATCATTCTGAATAATAAGCCAATATTACCATTTAGAGGTGATTCAAATAGCCTTTTATTGAAACAAAGGCTTAAATCAGTTATCAATAAAACGTATTGTGCAGCAAAGGTCATTATCAAAGAAAGAACGAGGTCCATGCTTCATTCAAAACCTAGACGTCATGAAAACGATTGTGTCACATCCCACTGTATTTACCAATTTAAATGTGTGTGTGGTCACACATGCTTAGGGATCAGCAATCATGATCTGTAAATTAGGGTGGGTGAACATGTACCAAAATTGGTATATAATTCCCATTTAAACATTAAAATTAAAACACAGATTTCAGCGAAGGGATCTCTTTTCAACGAATTTATTATCAAGCTGTACAATCGTATATATATATGAAACAGTTTTGTTAAAGTAGTGATTCCGTGAGGAAATGTGAACACTAATAACCAAGATTATAATACTGGATTACGTAATATGAATAACAACAATAGATTTAGTGAATATAGTAAAACGGATAAAATGTTTTGGTTACAATAATTAAAGTTCATTAAAGGTCATAGAGGTGTAAAATAAATAAATAAGGTGATGAGTATTCATGAATAAAATAATGAGAATATAAAACATAAGTAAAGGGGGAATGGAGTAATAATAATAATAAAAGAATAATAATAATAATCTTAAGGCCATGGTAACGATAATGATAAAACGTACTTCTTTTGTACGCATAGTTCTGGTTTGAGCTCATGGATGGTAAGAGCTTCGGCTATTTTTAAAAGTTTGATCCGAAGAAATCTTGGTAGATTTGAACGAATCATATAAACAACCTTAAAATCAGACTGTGGATTCGTCGAATGATTACAGTCGATTAGGTGTTCGAGTATAGAACTTCGAACTGCTTTCTTTCCACCATTGTAGGACCAAGCTGGTATATGTTCTCGTATCCGGGTTGAAAGCGAGCGCTGGCTACGGCCGATGTACCTTGCTCCACAAGAGCAGATGAACTGGTAGATGCACATGGAGGCGACCAAACGCGGAAGATTATCTTTTATGGATACAGAAATTAAGTTCTTACTGGTGAAGGTTATTCGTAGTTTTGCAGCGTTAAATGTCCTTCTTTTATAACTAACCAACTTCTATAGCTGGGTTCCATTAATTAGAAAGAGAAACTTGATTCATTCTTTATGCTATCGTATACATCGGATATGTAGTACAGAATGCATCAACGAAGAACTAGCGTTCCTCAAGAAAACTTTGTTGAGAAATGGCTACCCAGACCGGTTCATAGAGAAGAATATGAACAGAAGTAGCGTCGATAAGAATCCTAGTTATTCAGTGCCAAAGAAAAGCCTTTATATAAGTCTGGAATTTAAAGGTGATCGAACATCAGACATAATTAAAAATCGTTTAACAACAACGATTAAAAGGACATTTAACGCTGCTAAACTACGAATAACCTTCACTAGTAAGAACTTATTCTCTGTGTCCATAAAAGATAAGCTCTCTCGTTTGGTCGCCTCAATGTGCATCTACCAGTTCACCTGCTCTTGTGGAGCAAGGTACATCGGCCGTAGCCAACGATCGCTTTCAACTCGGATACGAGAACATATACCAGTTTGGTTCTACAATGGTGAAAGGAAAGCAGTTCGAAGTTCTATACTTGAACACTTAATCGACTGTAATCATTCGACGAATCCACAGTCTGATTTTAAGGTTGTTTATATGATTCGTTCAAATCTACCAAGATTTCTTCGTATCAAACTCTTAAAAGTAGCCGAAGCTCTTACCATCCATGAGCTCAAACCAGAACTATGCGTACAAAAGTAGTACGTTTTGTCATTATCGTTACCATGGCCTTAATATTATTATTATTATTATCATTCTTTTATTATTATTATTACTCCATTCCCCCTTTACTTATGTTTTATATTCTTATTATTTTATTCATGAATACTCATCACCTTATTTATTTATTTTACACCTCTATGACCTTTAATGAACTTTAATTATTGTAACCAAAACATTTTATCCGTTTTACTATATTCACTAAATCTATTGTTGTTATTCATATTACGTAATCCAGTATTATAATCTTGGTTATTAGTGTTCACATTTCCTCACGGAATTAGTACTTTAACAAAACATTTTCATATATATATATACGATTGTACAGCTTGATAATAAATTCGTTGAAAAGAGATCCCTTCGCTGAAATCTGTGTTTTAATTTTAATGTACCAAAATGGTTACAGAAACAAATAGAATCAAATGATCCAATAAGAGTAGAGGATAATCATCCATTATCCTCTATCGCTAAACATATAATCGAAACAGGCTATAAGACTGGTCTAAACTCAGCTTTTGTTGTGTTGTTTAAAAGTGTAAAAGGGCGTATACTGAGTTTTATCGAAGCGAAAATTCAAACCCCCTTTGTGTATTCAAAAACAGTTTGTTCTCACCTTAAACTTACCCTGGTAATATTGGCTTATTATTCAGAATGATTAAGTGTCAAATTGTTTTCACATTATCTTTGTTATTATGATTATCCTTGTCTATTTCAAAGTTGAAATCATGAGTCAATTGAAGCTAGACCACCATCGAAAACCTGGAAGCACTGGACGGCCGTTTCGTCCTACTATGGGACTCCTCAGCAGTGCGCATCCACGAACCCGCTCTCGCGAGCGAGATTCGGACCCAGGACCTACCAGTTACGAGCCAGAGCCCTTAACCGATAGACCACTGAGCCGGCATTCAACGGTGTTAATGTCTAACTTCAACTGATCCACGAATTATGAGCGACACTTCACCAAATGCTTTCAGTGAGTTGTTATCTCACAACAGACGTGGTTGAACTCCACTGGTCACTGCTTCCCACTAGAACTCCAGGACATGTATCTTGAAGTCAGTCACTAGTGAGCATATGATTATAATCAGAATGGGTTTTGTGGAGATTTCAGTATATTTCAAAGTTGAAATCATGAGTCAATTGAAGCTAGACCACCATCGAAAACCTTGTCTACTCTTACTCCCTCCATTTCCAGTCTAGTTGACTTTTTATTTTTTATGTATCAATGTTCTTAACAAATATATTATATGTGTGATCAGATTGTTCGAAATGTATTGCACTAATATCTCATTACATAGTGCTGATAATCTTCATCTTATTAATATCGAAATTTATCAAAGGAACTAATTGCTTCAGACAGTAATTAACTAATTCGCAAAATATCAATCAAACTTCTACATATGTCAATCAATCATCTCAGACTTCATTGTCCTTTCATCTTCATACCAATTGCTTTCTGTTTCTATTCTTCCCTTCACAATCTTCTTCTGCTAGATATTCTATTCCTGACACACGATCTATACTACTTATGTCGAGATAAGTAGCACACATCACAGCATAACATGCCTCTATTCGGATTGTTTAAATTATAATGATGCTATGACAAAGGTTAATATCTATAAATACCCATGATCTTCGGTTCATTTTCATTCTTATCCAATGAACACTTCTTCTGTTGTTTTTTTCTCTATTTGTGACCGTATTCTGTATGAATCAATTAGTGAACATAACAGAATGAAGAGTTTTCTTTCGTTTACTTTACTTTCAATAAAGCTCTTGTATTCATTGATTATCTTTATGACCTACATTTTTTTAAAGAATGTACTACTAATAAGTCGATGTAAAATAATCAGTAGTATGTATATCTCCTCATTTATTTAAACAAGAAACAAAAGTAATATTTCTACTTGAAATAAATGTGATACACATTTGTATAATAGTGAATAATGAACATTGAAAAGTCAATATACACAATAGATTCAATGTACGATGGTCGCATATGCACACACACAGTGTGTGTACACTGTACATAAACAATAGTATAATAATTATAATATAAGGATAGTGTACAACATGATGTTAATTATCACTGTCATCATCATCATCATCGGTTTTCTTTAAACTACCAAATACCGCCAATGGGACAGGTTGGTTTTCAATATCAATATCTAAATATACAATATGATAAATAAAGAGTAAATTGTTTATAATGAACATAATAACTACATAAATAAAAACTATTCATTAGTTCAGCCAATCAGCTATAACATAAGACCAGTCACACATATAATATGCATCGGTTCAAGTCACCGTACCTCATCAACACAACAAGATGTACACCGATTTCATAGAAGTAGTTAATTTAGTGGTGGTAATATATAAAAGAAAGATTGTATATCACGATATAGTACAGAAAGAAAAATATAAAGTAATTTTAATCTCACGGTTTAAGGAAATATAGAGAGTGTATAAACCTACGCCATTGTGGTCGATTCTGAGCCACATAACCCAGAGTCTCCAACCAATGGTTACGATAGTTACATAGACCCCAATCAAGTATTGTACATCTACTAACACAGCTCAGACTAGAAGTTAGTGAATTTGTGGACTAATGCCAAGTTTTGGTTTGGTCATCCCTAAGTTTCTCCCAATCGTCTTTCATTAATTACTATTATTATAACGGAGGAACTAGTAAGCAGTTGGATCTAGTCGATATGAAATCTTTGATTCAGATTAGATACTTTACTAACAAACATATAAATTCACTTAGTATTGTTTGTTTGAATCCTCTCATTGATGTTTTTAGGACTGCAACTGGTCAGTCTCCAATTGGCATATGTGCATACTGTGCGTATTGCCTCGATATAGCCTAAATTCACAAGTATGGTAAGTAAAGATGGATAGTGGCTAGCAGTGGAATCCAGTTTAACACGCGTTTCGTCCTATTTGGGACCCGTCAGCTGGATGTACCTGCATCTCAGAGTTGATGTTCACTCTGGGACTCGAACCCAGTACCTTTCGCTTCAAACGCCATCGCGCTATTCACCACTGAGTCATGATAGCTACTTGCTTGTGCAATGGGGTGAAGTTTTAAATTCACTTAGTATTATTTGTTTGAATCTTCCCATTTATGTTTAAGACTGCAACTCGTCAGTCTCTAACATATAAATTATTATTTAAACAAACAACTCAGTTCAGGCATGTTTTTTTGTCTATCGATAATCAGTTTCTTTGTCTAAAAGATAATGAGTGAAATAAGACGTGGAATCTCGTGGCTAGAGTATTGATTCTATCAACATTTCGAATATATACATGTTAATGAAGAATGTCAACGGACATGAGATCAGTAATTTCTCTGCAATTACCTTTACTAAATTAACACAAATATCTAATGTTCACTGACTATTACATTTATTCAGCAAATGATTTAAATAAAGAGCTTACCGTCTGGATGAGCTTTTCTTCGGCGTTTACTAGATATTGTATAGTCAGTATTATCTTCATTTACAGTTTCTTTTATTTCTTGTTCTCCCATTGAATCATCACCGGCCTCTTCTTCTTCTTCTTCTCCTTCATCATCAACATTGATATCAATCTCTTCAATATTAGTACTGGCTTTTTGTTGTTTATCATCTTTTTCATTAATTAATCCTAATTGTCTTATACCAGCTGATTGAAATTGTACCATAGGACGACCACCAGCTAAACTACTCTTAGTAGTGACATTGATTTCTGTTTGAGATTTATCTAATTTTTGCATTTCATCTATTGGTAATATATACACACATATATGGATTGATTATATGAACAGATAAGAAAAGAATTTCACATAAATGATGATATGGAATGAGAGTCAACAGTTGTGTAAAGATGATCATAACCTGTATAAATTATAGACCATTTTGATAGAATAATCTATCCTTAAGAAGATTGATTTGAACAAATGCTGACAACAACAACAACAACAGAGAAGATTCTCTCAATTCGTTATACTTTCAACTATAACTCATCAACACCTAAGAAACAATGCAGTATCCACTTGGAAAGAATAGTACGATGATATAGAGTAATGGAAGTCAACGAAAAATGATGAAGAACATAAAGTTTACGGTCCATATATCCATGGCCTTTACTTTATTATTATTATTATTATTATTATTATTATTATTATTATTCATGACTTTCTTCAGTATAACAATAAGACAGTAGGAGAGTATTTTGACGATTTCATATTTCCAGTTTATTTATTCCAGGAACACTGATAAGTTTAACATTAATAGTTAATGTTTCGATACAGAAGAAATTAAGTCAATTAATGAATTAAAATACTCCACAAACATGTACATATATGTTATAGCGTAATTTTATAAGTTTTAGATGGAGTTTTGTTCTCTGAGGTTCGATCCATAAGGCAGAGGAACAATGTAAAAAGATGCAGTCACATAGTAGCTGGTGACCAACACTTGGTTCATACTTCATTTGAAGCCCATGCACACCATTTGTTTGGAATGAAGGTTTTCCAACTTTCTTAGGTGGATCCTACATATCCACTAACCCCGTTAAAGTACCGAACATTGGCTTTCCGTCCTCTCAATTTCGTAAAGAATACCGTGAGAAGGTAGTGAGTTGGACTTACCAATCAGTGTGTCTGTATAAGACAGGCTATGTGAGAGAATTCGGAAAGCTAACTCTCCCCAGGGCAAAATAAATTCCATTACACTTTTTTTCTTCTTCCATGAAAGAATATCTTATCAAGCGAAGTATTTATATAAATATAATATTATCTTAATCTAGATTATTAAAATAAACCCATATCTTTATATACAAAAAGTGGAAATATCCAAGTAAGCTAAAATTTGTATTCTGAAATGATAGGATATATATATATTGGGCTATTATGATATTAAAGGAATGTGTCAAGTCTACAAACCAGTAGACTTAATTTAACTTTCCAAAGATCTAAGAAGTGTTCTATATAATAATAAATACATCAATCTCGTCAACAAAAATCAAACAGAGAACAAATGCGGTTATGAAGAAAGTAGATAAAGGTAAACGATAGGAAGCTTTGTAGTAACATTGTGGTGTGTGCTACTGATATCGATAGATCTAAGAAGTATGCATCATCAACATAAAGTCAAATATCTGGTGACAGAAGGTAAAAACAAGATCAAAGAACACAGAACTAGATCAAAGAAATGATTGGTGTGGAAATGAAAGAACAATGAATTCTGAAATGATTGATTAACATTTTGCAAATAAAGAATTTGCTGTATGGTTCTCAGATTTTACTAAGATGTTCTGTAATTTTGTGCTCCAATACATTTGGTTATCCCTGCCTGTGTTCTCGTTCACTACAACATCTGTGATCGTAAAATAATGAATAATACGTGTTTCAATACCTTAAAAAGAGCATCAGTTCTTTTTTTCAAAATTCGACACAAGCTAAACTGACAAATAACCACTAGCTTTCTTCTGATCATCACTTCTAATAACCAACAATCACAACAAAATATTAGAAATGTCATGTCATTTGAACTAGCAGAGATATTTATATCTTCATCGAAAGAATTTAATTACCGTTTACAATTAGATAAGTACAATTACTCAACCATTGATCACACTGTTCAATTAGAATTTTCTGAAATTAGTGAAAACAAATATTATTTATAGTTGAGTTCATGAGTCAATTAAAGCTAGACCATTATGGAAAACCTGGAAGCACTAAATGACCGTTTTGTCCTAGTATATGGGACTCCTACATAATGCGCATTCACGATCCCACTCGCGAGATTCGAATCTAGAACTTATAGGTCTAGCGCGCGAACTGTTAATCTCTAGACAAATGTGCCGGTATCCAACGGTGTTAATGTCTCACTTCAACCAATCCAATCGTGGATACGCACTGATGAGGAGTCCCATAATAGGACGAAGCACTCGTCCAGTGTTTTCAGGTTTCCCATGGTGATGTAATTTTAATTGATTCATCAATTCAACTATAAAATTACTAAAATCTCCACAAAACCACCTTCTAATAAAAACCAATGTATATGATGTACCGCTAAATTAATTGTGAATAAGACAAATCCACAATGAAGCATTGTGAGATAGTAAGAGAATAGAAAGGAAACACAAATTATTTACCATTTGTTGTTGGATTATCTTCATTCAATTGTAGTTGACTTGCAACAAAACTAACACGTGTATTATAAGTTGCTTGAACACTACGTCGAATTCGTAACATTTCACGTAGAGTATCTTCATTACCATGGGTTACTTCAAATTCTTTCCATATTTGCCAAAATTGTGTTTCGGTCTATACGAAGAAAAGTGAGGGGAAAAATTATGAGCAACGTGGTAGAAATGTCGATTTTCTTTCAGAGGAGTGAGAGCACATCTACCGAAAGTATACACTCATACTCCTAAACTATCACTATAGATAATATTAGATAAAACAAAGTACCGCAGTAACTATATAATTAAATAGTCTACATAAAACTGATTAATCTGTAAACAGTTCACAACATCAGTCAGTCACAACGTAGAACTTCGTACGTACGTACATCAGTTCGAGTTGACATACCACGTTATCACAGAGATGCAGTTGTCGATTCGAATCCCATAGTGGTAGAAGTAGTAAGAGTATAAGCAATAATGTAAAAGATTAGAGTTTGAAAATGTTATTGAAGGAATATGATAAAGTGAAATAAATTTGGAAGGAGAGAAACAAAGATAGAGACATGAAGAATTAAGAAGATTAGAATTTGGTAGAACACAAAGAGTGGATGCACCTTCGCCATTGCAAACGATTTCGAGCCATATCGTTCAAGGTCTCTAACCATCGATTGCTATCATCTCGCGAATCCCAATCCGGTAGTCTACACCTACCAACATGACTCAGTCCACTTGTCAGTGACTTCATGGATTTGTGCCATGTTTTGGTTTGGCCGCCCCTAGCTTTCTTGCAACCTACTCCTACACCATAAAACATTGCACGTCGGGGCAGTTCATAACATAGAATCATCATATACATGTTCTTTACAGGATCCACAAACTATAAGTTTAACACGTTTTGCGACTATATTCGTTAAGCCTTCCATTGACCGAACCTATCTGTAAATAGATAGTATTGTCTAAGTACCTTTTCATCTTCTTTTTTCTGTTACGCAATATGACCTATTTACAGTGTCAACATTACTTCAAAATGTAACATTATGAAGGTGACTTATACTTCAAATCCCAGTGATCTTTGACTTTCAAATACATTTGACCACTTTATGGAGAGTGGTTCATGAAAGTGGTTTCATTACAGAGAATCGTAGTTAGGTACATATAAACTTTTTAGATTGTAAACTATATGAAGAAAAATTGTCACAATCCTAGTAATCGGGAAATAGATCATTGATTTATTAACTAGTCAGTTTGACTATAAAATAAATAACAAATGATCTTAAACTACTCCTAAAATAATCAGTAGTACATTATCCATATGATTATTTTGTATTGTGCTTACTCGAGGATCACACATTTGTGCACAATAGGCATAAACAGCTCGTGCTCGATCAATTTCACCTAATTTTCTTTCAAGATCAGCAAACCTTAAACACATTTTACGCGAATGTTCTTCAGGTAAACGTTCTATTGCTTGTTCATAAGCTGAACGTGTATGCGTAACACCATGAAGATCGGCAATACGTTGAATATAGATATTGAACATCTGTAAACAATTTTCAAAGGAACAATACAAAAATTATGTTATAACTGTCAAGGAATGCTTGGATTAAAAGAAATACTTTTTAATATAGACTATAGGTAGATGTGATCTGAGAGTTCCAAAATAAAACCGATTGAATTATTTTGGCTTTTATTTAGCTTTCAACGACCTATCTCGCATTACTTTGTAATGAAGATTATAGATAAAAATTATTAAAATCAATTCGCAATCGGATACGGTGACGATTATAATCGATAGTTTCATCAAAAAAAGACTCACTTCAAATCTTTCTTCTGGAAGAACAGCTTCTGTAGCTCGTTCATATATACGAATAGCACGACGCGCAAGTCCATGTTGTTCTTCAAGTCGAGCATACAATAAATGTAACGCTGAAATACATCCATAGAAATAATTATACATTTTTGAAAAAAAATCATCATACAGAATTACAGCTATAGATAAAACACTTAACCTGAACAAAATATTACCAGTTACAGATGAAAATGTTCGACGGAATTCAGTCGTATCCAGGATTTATGGTAATATCAGATCTATCCAATTTTATCCAGTGATGTACAACACTTACACGCCTGTTACCCCTCGTGAAGGAGCATAGGCCGACCACTAGCATCATACATCAAACTCTGTCCTGTTCAATCCTTTCCAGTTGCTATTGATCCTTTTGATGTTTGCTTCCGATTTCCGACGCAGTGTGTTCTTTGACCTTGCTTTTTTCCTCTTCCTTCAGGATTCCAAGTAACGACTTGCCTCGTGATGAAGCTTGGTGACTTCCGCAATGTATGTCCTATCCACATCCAGAGTGCAGAGTATCTATGTCTACATGTATCCTATGAGAGTCAGATCAGTTTGATCTGTATCTTTCAGGTATATACACGACATATATCTACATAAAAACAGAAACTGTTAAGGAGACTGAATTCATGTCTACACATGTGCTTTGGAGTGCATAATTCCTCTGACCTGTGTATTTCAGATATGCATGTAACGTATAAAATTCTGCAACTGGGATTTAAATGCTAACAAGTAGTAAATACCAATGAATGGGAATGGAGACCGTCTGTCCTACGACAATAGTACCTACGTTTGCGTTTATGTCTAATTTTGAAATTCTGTCGAAATGATCATCCACTTACAAATTTATTCATCACAAATATTAATGGTTAATGGTAAACCTCTCAAGTATTTAATCATTTTGGCTTATTTCTTAATCAAGTTGATGGATATTTCGAGTACACTTTGAGCAATATTAAAGTGGCTTATTGTATGATATCTAGTATACATGAATATTATTTGTAAATTTACTAAATGACTAGTGAATAATGGAGTGCTATTTTCATTAAAGATTTGAAATCAATTATCTGAAGTAATATGTAACTGTCTAAAATGAACATGTCCATTGTAGTGTAGCCAAACACCTTGGATGAGAAGCTCAAATACAATGAAGGTTAGGGTATGAAATGAAATCGACAAGGTACGGAAATATAAACCAAACAACAAGAAGTAACACAATTATTGAACAATGGAAATATTGCAAACAACCTTAGTCAACATCATGTTCGAATAGTCCCAGTGAATTTTGAGTTTAATTCATTATCAAGTTGTGTACCATCATCTGATGTAAATTATATATTATTATATAAACTGTGCAACATTTCGTTCCAATCTACTTTATGGCAGTGAAACATGGCCCATAAGAGTAGAGGATATTCGTAGGCTATTAGTTTTCGACTATAAGTGTTTTCGAAGCATTGCTCGTATATCTTAGGACCACCGAGTAAGTAATGCAGTTGTTAGGAAACGGGTACTAGGTAAGGATGGCAAATCGGTTGGTGAAGTAATGCAACTTCATCAGCTGAGATGGCTGGGATATGTGTTACGAATGTCCATCCACCGACTGCCCCGACGTACAATGTTTTATGGTGTAGGAGTAGGTTGGAAGAAAGCTAGGGGCGGCCACACCAAAACTTGGCACAAATCCATGAAGTCATTGACAATTGAAATGAGCCATGTTGGTAGGTGTAGACTACCTGATTGGGATTCGCGAGATGATAACAATCGATGGTGAAATGGCTCAAAATCGTTTGCATCTTTTTCCTCTTTCCAAATTTATTTCACTGTATTATACTCCTTCAATAACATATTCAAACCCTAATCTTTCACATAATACTTATACTCTTACTACTTCTACCACTATGTGATTTGAATCGACAACTGCATCTCTGTGATAACGTGGCATGTCAACTCGAACTGATGTACGTACGTACGAAGTTCTACGTTGTGACTGACTGACTGAGTAGTAGTAGTATGAATTAAGTTTAAATTAAACCATAAATTTATAATTCTCTTTTATACCTTTAGCATATTTCGGTGGACATTTCTCTAAACATTGTTCAAATAAATCACGAGCACGTTCTAATTTATTTCCACCCTATAGAATAATAATAATTATAATGAATATAATGATTTAAAGTTATTATCAGAAATGAATGTAAATAAACGAACAATAAAAATATTTATAAATGAGAATTCTGTAATTAATTTTTCCATACTTAAAATGTCAGTAAGTCAGTGTTATAAACTACTTAGTTGGGGTGTCCACGCGATTATCGTAACCAATAGTTGGAGACTCTTGGTGACATGGTTCAGAATCGATCAAAATGGCGTACGAGTATACACTCTTTATCTTCCCTTAAACTGTGAGATTAAAATTGCTTCATAACTTTCTTCCTTTCTGTACTATATCCTTATATACAACATTTGTTTTATATATTACCACGATTAAATTAACTACTATGAATTCGGTGTTCTTCTTGTTGTGCTAAAAAGGTATGGCAACTTGGACCGATGCATAAATGTGCCTGGTCTAACGCTGTAGCGGACTGACTGAAAAAGAGAATAGAACTTTTCACTAATTATTTATAAGTTTATAATAAATATCATCAATTTTATTTATTTATTTCAACACATAAACATTGATACAAAGGGGAACCGATTACATATGCACCACACAAGTCACTTGATTTGTGTGCAGGCTATCATACTGACCGAGTGTCTAGACCGAAACAGATGGTTTTCTTAAAAGGCCACACCCGGAGCTATCCATCTAAAGCTCTAATCCACAAGGAAGTGGAGCAACGTAAAGAGATACAGTCCCATAGTGGCCGGTGACCAACAATATGTTCATACGCCATTTGTTTCTTAAGAATCCCGGAGTTCATGTGAACTACTGGTTTGAAATGAGGGTTTTTCAACTCCCCTAGATAAACCTTTAGTGTCCACAAACCACGTTAAAGCGCCAGACATCCGTCGCGAAAAGGCAGTGAGTGGGACTTCCCTGGTAGCGGTTGTATGCACGTGGCCATGTGAGAGTATTTCGAGAGGGAGAGTGGACTTTCCCCACCTTCGGCCTTACCAAGGTATTTGATTTTATATTCATCCATTAGACTGTAGAATTGTTGTTGTTGTTGTTGTTACGTATTTCTCTGCTCCCAAAATTATTATCAGTTAATTATAAACCTCTTTATTCTTAATTTGTACTGTTAATGCTTTATTTAGGTATAATAATCTCTCATATATAGTTCATTCTGATAATTTAATTTGCGTATAAAACCATGTCAATTCTTTTTTGGAATTAAAATGTAGAGACTATATTATCTATCTTTTCCTAGTGGTTTGATTGAAGTAGAATGGAAACAAAAGTGTTAACATATATTAGGTTATTATCAGAAGGGGTTTTGTGGATATTATAGTAATTTTAATAATTGAGATCATGAATCAATTGAAGCTAGACCAGTATGGAAAACTTGGAAGCACTGCTTGACGGCCGTTTCGTCCTATTATGAGACTCCTCAGCAGTGCTCATCCACGATCCCGCCTCGCGAGATTTGAACCCACGACCTATCAATTTCACACGCGAGCGTTTAACAAAACAGAACACTGAGCCGGCATCCAATGGTGTTAATATCTAACTTCAACCTATTCACGATCCAATAAATAGGACGAAACGGCCATCCAGTGCTTCCAGGTTTTCCATTGTGGTCTAGCTTCAATTGATTCATGATCTAATATATTAGATTACTGTAATGGATTATGAGTATTATTGATTCAAACATATGAGAGTAGAGTAATCAGCACAAGTATATTACTTCATAAGATATAAAATACTGAATATCATTTGAAAACTATCAATGACTATTCAAACATATATTTCATAAGAAGAATATTTCTTCTAAATAACCATTCACATAAGTGTATAGTCAACAACCTCGCTTCAGTGATATTATCCTAATTAGTATTTAGATAACAAAGACTTTCCATTTTAATACAAATGTTATTATAAGAAGGGAGTTTTGTGGAGATTTTAATAATTTTTTTTATATAGTTGAGATCATGAGTCAACTGAACCGTTGGATGCCGGCTCAGTGGTCTATCGGTTAAGTGCTCTGGCGCGAGACTGATAGGTCCTGCGTTGGAATCTTGCGAGGCGGGATCGTGGATGCGCACTGCTGAGGTGTCCCACAATAGGACGAAACGAGCGTCCAGTGCTTCCAGGTTTTCCATGGTGGTCTAGCTCCAATTGACTCATGATCTCATATATATAAACATTTTATTATAGTCTTTAGAGGATAATCAAGATGATTCTTCACAGTAATTTTCATATATCAACTAGACAAAGCATTATAACTCCTCCCTTTCCAAAAGATCCCGGTTAATTGTTCTTTTTTTAACATGTTGATTACCGTGTGCACATTACAAATAAGTTGCATATTGGAATGAGATAACCTACCCTTAGATTTACTAAATTCATCAGTTACTAATATATGACATACTCAACATAGAAACTAATTTCCACATATCAATGAACTGATACAAAACACTTACGTAACGTTCAATAAACTTAGATAAATAAGTAGCCCATATATCGTAAACATTTGGCCAACGAAATAATGCAACACCTTTTTCATATGCCTATAAGAAAATAAAACAAACATCTTTGTGCATATATAAGATGCAACAAAACACTTAGAACAGATGGGTTATGTGCTAACAACAATGGGTAACTCAGGATACATGTTTCATCCTATTTGGAACTTGTCACTTAGATGTGTACCTCTATCCCAAATGTTGACAGTTCATATTAAGACTTAAACATCAAGTACCTTTTACTTGTAAATTTCAACAAACGAGTTAGTTCAAAACCTTAATAATAACCATTATAATAGAACAAATCACATAATTATTGAATGTATAATTGGCGATGTGATAAACAGAAACAGAAAAATTATGTTACCGAAGTCTCTTGTCAATTATAGACAAGTCGCTAACAGGACTCAGTGGCCGAGTGGATAACGCGATGGCGTTTCAAGCGAAAGGTACTGGGTTCGAGTCCCAAGTGGACATCAACTCCGAGATGCAAGTACATTCAGCTGACGAGTCCCAAATAGGGCGAAATGCGTGTCAAACTGGATTCCACTGCTAGCTACTATCCATCTTTGCTTATCTTGTCTTCTTTATTTATCATTAATATAATAATAAGTTATTTGTTATCTGATTGAACATACTTTCATAATTTAATATTTTGTACATAAGTTGAGAGTTTCAGTGTGTTTTTTTCTAGATGATATTTGAGTTCGCTTTAAGCTTTCACACGTTCTGTTAGTTAGAAGTTAGGGAATCCACCAATCCTGATCTCGGGGGTTATCATAAGTCACCATATGGTTATTATCAAGGTAGAAAATTTGTAGAAATAGTTCAATTTGAAAAGGTATTTTTTATAGTAGATTGGGATCACTTCATCAATTACGGATAACGTAGCTACTATAATAACACAGTGTTCAGTTTCCCAAGTCGTCGTGGTTTAATCAAGCTATATTGGTTGAAAGACATATTCCTTTAGGCCTTAACATACAGTCGACCTTTGGGCACTATAGTCTTGGTCTCAAGTCACCAAAACCACTCGCTAAACCAGTATTTTCCACTCCCTCAAGTATCGTTCCACGCTGTGGGCGACAGAACGCAACAAACACCTTCATACCCATAACAGAACTCTAAAAGTAGACAAGCATCCCCTATCCTTATATCATTTACCATTACTACTAACATTCATCGTTCAACCTACCTTTTGAATGCTCTTGCCGTTTCTATTATGTTCTTCAATCAGTAAAAATTTTTATGTGGGATTAAACACAAGTGCTAGAAGTACAGAGAAGTTGAACCTCAAAGTCGGCGAGGGATATAATATTACTTAAATATTCTTAATGAACAAAAAATCGACTGTAAAGACGTATTATGCAACAGAGATGATGAATAAGGTTTTAAACTATGATCAAATCATCTTAAGTCCAATGCCTTAATCATTCAATCATCAAGTAGAGTTGTTATGAATACATAGTTTAACAGTTCGATTTCGTAAACCAATTCATTTGATACGAATTAAAAAGTCAAATAGTATCAATAGCCAGTACACATGTGTACAAAACAAGAATACTTTATCACTGGTGAGCATACTGATGTGTTAGAAGTTATAAACCTATCAGCTTTTAACTAAATAAATAGTAAACTAGAACCTCTCTTGCTTCACCTAATTCAGTTAAGAAAACCGATTAGTAACACACAAGCTCTCAAACACACAAAAAATATAGTTCAAATTTGGATTTACATACAAAGTTTGTATCTATGTTAGATGAGTTACATGTTATTTACTGAATTAAGTAAATTCATTACAGTTTTATGTATGAAACTAAACATAGCCAAGTATGTTGTGTTGTTTGAAGCATTCAGTAGGAAGACTTGTTTCACCAACGTTCCATGATAGTTAGCACTCATTCGCAGCAAGATGCACTCACAATTTCGAAGTAATCAGTACACTCCGTGTGATTGGAACACACTTCGATCAGTTTCATAGCCTGAGACGTTAGGACTGATCTATTCAGGCTGCAGTTCCCCTCTATCATGACTGAATACAGTAGTCTTGAGTGCTATTAGAGGTATGAGGGCAGTTATCACTCCCCGGTCGCCCACACCGTGGAAGGGTTCTTCTAAAGGTACCTGAAAAGGAAATTGGGTTAGAAGTGGTCTTAATGATCTGAGAGCGTGACCGCGGTGACCAAGGGATAACTGTTTGAGGTAGGTCACACACGACCTTTTTGGGGGTAGTTTTTGTGTTAGCTCCGTACTTATTGGAACCTTACCGCCGGAGACGAATATCCGTGGGATAAGGCGAGGTGTGCATTTTTAGGGTCGACCTTTTCTAACACCACCCCTCCTTGTGGGAAGGCAGCATCGCTGTTATGCTGGTTGTCTGAAGGAAACACCTTACTGCTGTCATACCTCTGTACAGTCAGCAGTACGACTTCACCTTCGGACCTTGGGTTTGCTGCTTTTAGTCTTAATGCTCTTCAACCGACCTGTCTGGCATAGTAGGACCTTGAGAAACGATTGTTCCAGCCAGTATAGCTCGATTGGTTCATCACGATGGGTAAGCCCGACCACCACGTCAAGGTAGAAGCAACGGTCGGGTCCATCATGACTGATATGTACAGCAATCAGTCAACAAGAGTATCAATAATGACCAAGTATACAAAAACTATTGTGGAACAATATACCAATCAGACTAATCATATACATACACAACGTGAGAAAAAAAGTGAAACACAAAATCATTATAAACAATTTCAACTAACTTTAAAAGCATCTTCAAAATAATTTAACTCCTCCAGGAATAAAGCATAATTCATAATAATTTGAGGAGTTGCTATACGTAAATCAATCATTCGATCATAGGCAGCCTATAAGTATTATATAATAAAGAGAAAAATAGGTATAAATACATATTACCTACAAAATATCAACAATGTAACCAAAAAATCATATAAAGATTATGCCAAGTAAAAAGTGACTGAAAAAAATACTTTTATGCAAACAGGTTAATTGAATAGTCTTCCTATAGGAAAACAGATTTCAGTGATGTAGAAAACAGAAATGTTATGTAAGGCGTTGGTTGGAGTTAGTCGATAAAAAATACCGGAACTCGATTTGACGTTTTTTTGCACTCTTCATGTAATATCAAGTCCGAGTCTTCCAGGTAGCATCAGTCCCCTTAAGATTACAAGTACACCCAGCTGACGAATGCTGAATGGTACGAAACCTATGTTTAGGGTTTTTTGACGACTAACTCCAATCAACAACTTACATCCCGACATAATGAACGTAATCCCGAGTCACTTAAACTAGTGGCCAAGTTGCAACTTGACCGATAGGATTCCATTAGTGCTAAGACGGAGTTGAAATAAATAACACTGGCCCAGGACAGAGTGGGTTGGAGAATGCTGGTCAGCGGCCTATGCCCCACTGGGAGTAACAAGCGTAAGTAAGTAAGTATCATTCAAAGACTAATTAATTGAAAACAAGCGTGTTATCATTGGTATACTTAACAACATCTAACAGTCCCTGCTTGTGTAATCCAACTCGGATAATATGAAATAGACGGAATGTGGCTGGCATATGTACTCTCTGTCAGGAAAGTCCTACTCACTGCCTTCTCAAGGCATTACTGTTGTTTACGAAAGTCAGAAGACGAGAAGCGGAATCGAAATACCGGCGTTTGAACTGGGTTGGTGGACATGGAGGATCCACCTAGGGAAGTTGGAAAATCCTCATTCCAAACCAATGGTACACATGGGCTCCAGGATCCTGAGGGAACAAATGGAGTATGAACCAATTGTTCGTCACCGGCTACCATGGGACTGCATCTCCTTACATTGCTCCATCGCCTTGTGGATTAAACCTTCAGGTCAAAGGCTCCGTGTGTGGCCCCCTAAGAAAACCACCTGTTCCGGTCTGGACACTCGGGCAGTATCATAGCCCTCACACAAATCAAATGAGATTTGTGTGGCGCATATGCATCTGGTGCTTCCTTGTACCAATATTTATGTGTTTAAATAAAAAATAAAATGAAGAAATAGTTGGTATTTACCTTTGTTGTTTCAAATGTACCAAAACTTTCTTCTAAATCTGTGTACAACGACCAAAGACGCAAAGATTTATGAAGTCGTGCTTGAACAGGCTCGGAACGATCATAATAATCGACTTTACGTGATGGTGCAGTAGTAGCTTTCCCTAATAAACGAAGTGCTGCTTCAGGTTGACTGATTTTTAAGGGGGGAAAGAGACAATAATAATTGGTTTTATTATTGCTAATATAAATAACGTATGTAATAAGTAGTAAAAATGAATACAATCAACGCTTTAAGTACCGAAAGATTAGAGATGAAGTTAGGTGTAAGATATTAGGTGACAAATGCCAATTTGACTGATGACAAGGCCTTAAAGCTCTTCACCATTTAAGATGATTGTTTTTTATTGAGATCATGAACCGATTGATGTAAGAACACCATGGAAAACCTGGAAGCACAGGACGGCCGTCTTTTCCTGTTGCGGGACTCTTCAGCAGTGTGCGTCCACGGTCCCGCGCTCGGGATTCGAACCCAGGGTTTTCAATTTTCGCGCGCGAACGCTTAACCCAACGGTTTTAATGTCTAACATCAACTAATCTACGAAATCGCGCGATCAACTTCCAATGTACTGAGGTAGATACCTGTTTGTACCTGACACGGATCTGCTCCACTGGTCACGGCTTCTCACTAGAACTCCGAGAATTCCTTCACGAAGCTAGTCGAAGTGGTGCTGTTCTAGCATCAATCGGTTTATGACCTCAATCAAAAACACAATAATCTCCACAACCCCATACTGAGATGATTGTGCTCATGAACTATATGTACTTAGTCACAGCCTTCTCTAGCTGGGATTGAAGCGTCCTTATATAACTCTACTAGGTACATCTATCCTTGCTTAAATAAGTAACTAGTCTGGTAAACAAGTATATAATAATTTAGATTCTGTTAATTAGTTTGTATTTGTTCAGATTATTTGTTAACTTTTCGTCTATATATATTTTTTGTGTGCATGTCTGTTTATCCCATATATTATCTATTAAGTTTTCCAATAAACTTATGTAATAATCCAAATACTGATTGATAAGTCTGTTAATCCAAAAAACATCGCGCAGCCAACTGTCAATTTAGTTCTCTCACCCTACCATTTTGACTGTTGGGTTAGTCTACAAACAACACACCAAGTGATACTGAGTAAATAGAACGAAGGTCAAAGACACAGTGACACGATAATCTATTCTAATCCGTTGTCCCAGGCCTCGCTAACTAGAGTGAGAAGTCCAAGTTGGAAGTTTTTTCTGGTTAGCGTTTTTTTAGCGAGTTGATTTTCTACGGGATGGGGTCACTAACCCCATGCCCAACCCTCCTCCTTTACCCGGGCTTGGGACCGGCAGTAACCCCCAGAGGAGCTAGAGGCGGAGTTCAAGTTGCAAGTAGGGAAGATATATTCCGTAAGCAGCCAGAAGCACAAGCAATTAAAACAGGTACGAATCAAACGTATATGTACAACATAAGATTGTCCTTGGGAAACACGTTACAAAATAGCATACTAAAAGATAAAACGGACCAATAGCGTTTAAGATTTTCCCAAGCGGGAAATACAACGTGAAGGTCAAAAGAGCGCTTTTGGTGCGAAAACAAGAAGATTCAAATTTTCAAAATAAAATTACAAAAACAAGTCATCCCCAACAAGACATATCCATGTTCTCTCTCTCATTATAATTAATACTGAGATTACTTCGAACCGCGTTGTCACTTATCTTATCATAGCAATTTTAGTCAACTCACATTTATGCCAAGCTATAGATTGATCATGACTTATGACTGGGGTAAAAGAGGTGAACGCATCCAGACATATATATTTATGACAACTTAGGTATCTGGCTAAAATTTCTGAAATATAATATATTTTTGTAACTGAGAAAATATCGCAACAGAAAGTGTTGGCCTATTTCAAATTTGTTTTTATAGAATTATTTAAAACTTTTGTACAGGATCATGTACTCAGCTCGAGTCACAAAATCGTATATATGATGATTAGAAGTGATACCATCCGGTACCTTGAGAAGAAACTATTGAAACGAAAGTCAAACTTCCATTGTTTACATAACAAGAGCAGGAATTATAAAGAAAAAAACTGCTACGAAGTCGAAATAATAACAACGTCAGTGGTTGTCCTAAATGAAACAAAAATCATAGCAAATGTCCGGCGCTTTAACAGGGTTGGTGGACACGAAGGATCTACCTAGGGAAGTTGGAAAATCCTCATTCCAAACCAATGGTACACATGGGCTCCAGGATCCTGAGGGAACAAATGGAGTATGAACCAATTGTTCGTCACCGGCTACCATGGGACTGCATCTCCTTACATTGCTCCATCGCCTTGTGGATTAAACCTTCAGGTCAAAGGCTCCGTATGTGGCCCTCTAAGAAAACCACCTGTTCCGGTCTGGACACTCGGGCAGTATCATAGCCCACACACAAATCAAGTGACTGGTGTGGTATATATGTATTCGGTGCCCCTTTGTACCAATGTTTGCGTTTAAATAAATAAATGAAACATATGTTACAATCCCTTCTGGATGTTTATACATTTTTTATTTAGTGCAGTTAGTCAGTTGGGTTGTGAAAAGTCGAAGAAAATTCATAAAATCAGCGAATTTACGTACTATACATTCTACACAAACAGTTGTTTCTTTTAAACTGATAAAATCCTAGTCTAAGCAAATAGGATTCGGATCATATATCAATGAAATACAACATAAGAAAGAAAAAAAAATAGAACAACATAGTTGATAATTTTGGAACTTACTCATGACGCATTTCCATTTCAGCCCATTCACACCATATAGCGGCTAAATCTTCTACATGCATAAAAGAAACACCAGTTGCTTTTTCAAGTACTACTCGTGCATCATTCAACTGATTATGTTCTTCATATAAACGTGATAGACCAGTCCATAATGATGATGGACGGCCTGCTGTTGCCTTAGCTTCAAAACAATAGAACAGTAAATTGTAATTAATAGAAGACCAATCACTGTACACATGTAAATGTATAACAATATGTCTTGGTATTTTTCTAATCAACAGTGAAAGTTGAGTTAAAACTATCTTTTTATGACATAACTGGAGTAAGTATATGATGTACTCGTGTTAATCGGTGATAATAAAAAAATATGAGAAGCCAACGCGAGGATTCGATGAACCAAAAACTAAGAAAGTCCAGAACTAACTACGTTCAATCCACCAGACATATCGTGTATAACAACTTCCATTTATTTGAATGGTCTAACTATTAAACAATTATTCATCAAGTATACACCGATTTTTTATGTGGAGCCGACAAAATGATATGTACATCTTCACAAAAAGGTATGTATTCATATTACATTGGATCAAATCTCACTCATTCACCATACGTTTATGGAACAAGGTTGTATAAAAGTAGACGACATGAAGAAATTTTTTTTAAATGTTTGACTAGTACTGGGTTCTTAAAAAGGACATTAGGTATGTAATGTTCATACAGGATCTTATATAATATAAGTTAGTCCTTCGCTATGTAACTGCAAACTTTGAGTGATGGATGCTTAATTAAATCACTGATATTTTAAGTAATAGCTAACAGAATTAAAAATTGGCAACATAAACCAAGGGTTCAAGAGACTAGATAATTTTACTAGCTTCACAGGATTATATGTTATCAAAAGTTGAGTACACAAAACATGTACTAAGTAAATGTATCACAACAAGACGTGATTTGAATGTATGCTTAGTAATGGTTAATTGGGGAAAATCAACTAAAAATTCTTCATTAAAAGTGTTTACACCGATATTTTTGTAGCTGTTTTACGGCGTAAGTAATTACTACTCACCTGGATCAACCGATGTAATACCCTCCATGAATGCTGCAATTTGTTCACGTGCTCCTTGACTTTTCAATAATTCAACACGTTTCAACCAATCAGCTACGTTATGAGGATTTTGACGTAACAGGACACTATTTAAGAGTAATGGACGATGATCCATGAGAGACTCAAGACGTGCTAGATACAATTCGACATCCAACTCATCTGTGAAGAAAGCGATTTGTTACAAGAAGAGAAAGTGAATAAGGCAAACAATTGTAAATGCATTGAACTCAATAACAGAGCATACCTATAGTTTACAGTAGTCAGTTTATTAATTCTAAAAACGCACTTTAACAAGATAAGTTTGGGAAAAGATTGATAACATGAATATTTATGTCACGTTTTACGTTGATTGTAACTGATTGCAGTAAGTCCAAGTGCTCACAACTGATTGAATAACGTACGTAGATTCACTAGCGTACAAAAACCTCTAGGAAAAATATTGTTGACGCTATTAAGTGCTCATGTTGTCTAATAACTAGGTGCTTAATAGTGTGCTTCTCTGAGCCTATATGAAAAAGTCACTATATGTCTAATATAATTAATAAACCATGAAAAGGAAATAATAGAGGAGCGAATTTCAAACTATAATTAATATCTCACCATCTTCTGTAACATCAGATTGTTCCAAAGCAGCCATTTTTGCCTTTGCCATTGATTCTTCAAACTCCGCATATGCATCAAAAACTTGAGTGAAATCACGAACTGTTGAAACACTATTCAATGCTTCTGCATAAACATCTCTGGCCCGTGCAAGATTTTCACAACGTATATGATAGTCAGCTAAAGAATTCCATAACACACCGACCTAAATAACCGGATTTGAATAGTTAAAGTAAACTAAAAAAATTCACCTGGTCAGTATAACGATGAATTCCTTGACGAATAATAGGATCTGCTTTCAACGACGTAATCTTCAAAGGATTTTTAACCAAAAGATTGCACAACTGGTTCCATAATTGGAATTTCGACTTTCCTTCACGACTCATAAAACTATCATCATTAATTATCTCAGACAAGACAACTGCGGCTTCATTGGCATTTCCGTGTTGAATAAGAAAATTGACAAAACGTTCCATATCATCTGGAGCAAACTAAATTAATAAAAAGGTTAGGAATATAAAACTTTTTTGCATACGTACATACCTTTACATATCGTCTGTATATTCGTACACAGGTCTCGTTAATTTTATGACCGTGTCTATCAGCGAATCTTAAATACAAATTCCATATCCTATCATGTTGGGTAATTGGTAAAGCTTTCAACGCCCTGTCAAAAGCATGTCTTGTTCGAGTAATCAATCCTTGTGACATTAGGAACATTAAATAATCTATCCATATACGAGGCATCTAGAAATAAAAAAGCTTAGGGTAAATAAATTAAAGCCATCAAAACCTTGTGCATTGTAACAAGAGCTCTTTCATGGGCATTATTAGTTTCTTCATGCAGAATACTACCAGGACAAAGAGAACGTGAGTGCACACGCCGTAGACGTAGATAACGGTACCATAATTTATAACTGTTAATAGAACATAGATATTAAATATGTAAATTTATCATTACCTACCTTCCAGGCAATTGTTTTACAGCTCGTTCATATAACATATAAACCACTTTTGGGGGTGACTTCGCTTTCATACTAATGTATCTAAGCCACGATTTAACATTGTGTGGGTTACGAATAAGTTCTTCTTCAAACGGTCTATCTTGTTCATCCTAGGTAGCGGGTAGTAATAATAATATAACGAATGAGTCGTCAAAATAAGAACATACGATAACGATAACTTGTTCTTCATCCATGACTTTTCACTTGTTAAAGTGAGAAGATGAAACGTTTTTTCCCTGTAACAGTAAAACACAAAGGGAAAAAGAAAGTTATCAAGTCAATCAGCTTGGTGAAATGGTGATTCATATTCTTTATATTATATTATTATCGACATTAGTATTATTAGGAGTGAACTGTGAGGGACGATGAGTACTTTTCTGTTTAGCCAGACTGTAGCTGTGAACACAAAATACATTTAAATGAATATTAAAACACTCAGAAGCCAACTCAATACATCAACTAAAAATTAACAGCTCACTATAAAGTTACTTACCATATGATCACATAATGTAAGGATAATGCTTTGGAAAATTTATTTATTTTATTCGTTTATTTGCAAAAACATAAAACTCAGCATCCAAAGACCTTGAAAAGTCATTGTATATTCTACGACCTAACGGTATACTGAATATATTTGGAATGCAATAACTAAATTTAGTTATCAAAAAAGTATGTTTAGGACAAAGTGGTACTTAATTGTTTTTGGGCCCTACAAAAATCGGTTGTATGGGTTTGATATGAAACATAGCCCTGTAACGATAACCACCCACTAGTGGATAAAATACCTAGGATTAAAACACCGGTCCAGGCAATAACTAATGCACCATCCATATCAGTGTAAACAGCCAGATGGAATCACCAAACCATAATAGAAACAGTGGCCATTACCGAATACGTTACTTTTCCACCATAAGAACACATTGATGGACAGAAAATGAACACGAGAAATAAACACTTATTGGTGATGTGCAAGCCCAATACACAAATTATGAGGAAGAAAATCAATATCGATTAGAACAGTCAGTCAGCTACAACGTAGGATCAGGCACATTTATGCATCGATCCAAGTTGCTATATCTCGTTAGCACAACAAGAGGAACACAGGATCCATAGAAATAGTTAAGTTAGTGGTGGTAGTATATAAAAGATAGGTTGTATATGAGGATAAAGTATAGGAAGGAAGAAAGTTATGAAGCAATTTTAATCTCAAGGTTTAAGGGAAGATAAACAGTATATACACCGACGCAATTGTGATCGATTCTGAGTCATGTCACCCACATTCTCCAACCATTGGTTACGATAGTCTAGCGGATACCAACCAGGTAGTATGCATCTGCCAATATGGCTGACATTAGAAGTTAGTGACTTCAAGCACTGATGCCACGTCTTCATTTGGCCGCTCCCAACTCTCTTCCAACCATCACCAACACTAGTCAGCATTGCGCGTCGTGGAAATCGGTGTTCAGGCATACGTAACACGTGGCCTAACCATCTGAGTCAATGAAGATTCATGACCTCATCAACTGGTTTACCATCATTCACTAATACCCTGTGTCTAACCTCACTATTACTTACCCGGTGATCCCAGCAGATGCGAGCAATATTTCTAAGATATCTGTGGTCAAATACTAGTAACTTATGAGTATCTTCTACTCTCGATGGATACGTTTCGCAGCCGTAAAGTAGAACAGAAGGAACTGCTGCGCAGTATACTCGTCCCTTAATTGATATCTCGTCTTCGCCATAGGTGATTTTTATTTATTTATTTATTTAAACACATAAATATTAGTACAAAGAAAGCATCAGATAAATATGCGCCTCACAAATCTCATTCGATTTGTGTGAGGGCTGTGATACTGACCAGGTGCCCAGACTGAAGCAGGTGGTTTTCTTAGGGAGCCACACCCCGAGCCTTTGATCTGAAAGTCTAGTCCACAAGGCAGTGGAGCATCGTGAGGAGATGCAGTCTCATGGTAGCCGGTGACGAACAATTGGTTCATACGCCATTTGTTCCCTCATGATACTGGACCCCATGTACACCATTGGTTTGGAATCAGGGTTTTCCAACTCCCCTAGGTGAACTTTCCATGTCCACCAACCCGGTTAAAGCGCCGGACATTCGCTTTTCGTCCTCTCAATTTCGTAAACAACACCCGGGCCACGAGAAGGCAGTGAGTAGGACTTCCCTGGCAGAGTCTATATATTCGCGTGGCCATGTGAGAGCATTTGGAGGGAGAGCGGACTCTCCCCACTATCGGCCGTACCAGGGCATTTGAGGGCCCATAGGTGACGTAAGTTGGCAAAAGCCAAACGAGCTTTCTGAATCAGTGCTGAGATTTCGTCAGACACCAACCCATTAGGTCTGATCAGACTTTTAAGATAAGTGAAGTTGTTCACGCGTTCGACTACTTCACTCCCTATCCTTAGTTCAGGTGTTGATGCAGGCCAGTCCTGGAGTAACAATTTACATTTAGATGGGAAGAAGCGCATCCGGAACATCCTGGCATTATTACTCAGTTCTAACAGACTGCATTTTGTCAGCGTCTTCACCAAACAGGACTATGTCATCTGCGTATTCTAAGTCGATTAGTGGACCCCCTGGTAGGAGATCAATTCCTGAAAATTCAGTCGAAGAGAATGTTATTTCCAGCAATATGTCTATAATGAAATTAAACAAAAATGGGGATAATGGATATCCTTGTCGGACAGCACTTGAGGTTGTGAAATCATATGACAGTTCGCCATAAGCTCTCACTCAACTGGTAGTGTTCGAGTAAAGAGCCTTCATAAGGTTTAGAACAAACTTCCGTTACATAAAGTGATCTACTGTGAAATATGCTTATGGATTTTCAATACTTTTACTATGATGATTTTCTAGAGATAAATACTCAGTTAATAAGTTTTATTCGTTATAACGGATACATGATCGACTAACTTAAATGTGTTCTCAATAATTATTGATCATTAATTTTGTATTGTTTGTTTGGATCTTCCCATCGATGTGTTTAGGACTGCAGGTACATCCAGCTGACGAGTCCCAAATAGGACGAAATGCGCGTCCTGGATTCCACTGCTAGCCACTATCCATCTCTGCTGATCATCATTAAGTTTTAATTAATACACTGGTCTTTTTACCCAGTTTAGCAAAACAGGGAAAAAGAAAATAATAGTAGTCCCGTTAACTGTATTAATGTTGGAGTCACAAAAATATTGGTACAATGAAGCACCAGATAAATATGCGCCTCACAAATCTCATTCGATTTGTGTGAGGGCTGTGATACTGATCAGGTGCCCAGACTGAAGCAGGTGGTTTTCTTAGGGGGCCACACCCGGAGCCTTTGACCTGAATGTCTGATCCACAAGGCGCCGACGCCTTGTAAATCCGACCTTTTACAGCCAGGCTAACATCACGAAAACGCCAAAGATGGCCCAGATTGGCATAAGCCGCTCTGGCTTTCATTATACGTGCATCAATCTCATCACTCATGCCACCACCAGCACTTATATAGCTACCTAGATACACGAACTTCTCAACTACTTCAATCTGCTCATCGTCCAGGGTAAGTACAGGATGAGAATCCTGCCAGTCTTGTAAGAGTACTTTGCACTTGGAGGGTGCAAAGCACATGCCGTACCTGTGGACACTGATTGCCAACTGATTAAGTGCGGATTACATGTCTTGGGCATTATCGCACAGTAAGACAATATCATCCGCATACTCGAGGTCGAGAAGTCGTTCTCCAAGCAACATATCCACACCGCCATTACTTACATCCACCAGAGCTGTTTCCAGGATGTCGTTGATGGCAAAGTTGAAGAGGAATGGTGAGATCGGCCAACCCTGCCTAACCCCACTGCTCGAATGAAACAAGAGAGAAAGGTGGTTGTAAGCGGGACGTTTCGCGAAACCGCAAGCGGCTTTACTCGCCATTTTCATGCAACCAATGCTCATCTATACTTTTCGGTGGGATGGTAGCTAGCCTAGAGGCTAGCTCCGCTCGATACTTGCTTGCAACAGAAGTTGCAGCCAGTTTACTAATATCAATCCGTTGGTGGTGGTCAATCCTTCGGCCACTGAAAAGTAAGGTGAGATTGGCGCAGACCAGGGCATGATCAGACTCCAGATAGGTACTCCAAAAGGAGCGGCAGTCTTGTACACAACCACGCCAGCGGTAGCTGATCGCGATGTGATCAATCTGAGTCCAGGCTTGGGATGCAGAGGGAGGACGCCAGGTGGCACACCGGCGATGACTGTGCCGGAAGTTAGTGCTGACCAGAAACAGGTTGTGGTCTGTGCACAGTTGCAGCAAACGGTCCCCGTTATCTGTCCGGCGACCAACAAGTCCCCATCGGCCACCTAAACGACTCTCTTCTGTGCCTAGACGCCCGACCTGTGCATTCAAGTCTCCGGCTAGTACTACAATATCTGTCGAACGCGCTTTCTGGAGAAGAACTGTTAACTGATGGTAAAACTCATCCTTGATTGCATCCGGGCTGCAATCTGTCGGGGCATAGGCGGAGATGACGAAAAGACACCGTTTCTCACGCCGGTTTCTTCTCACTTTGATGGAACTTTCTAATCTAACAGCACATAACCGACTGTTAATGGGGATCCAATCGATTAGTGCTGCCTCAGCTCTAGCGCTAAGTGTGACACCAACGCCAGCAAGACCAGACGAAGATGCCACTGGGTCCCCGGATAAGCGCACGTGGAACAAGCTTTTCGAGGCGACAGATGGAGAGCGGATTTGTAGTACTTCACTAGAGTCTTGAATATGGGTCTCGGATAGACAACAAACATCAACATTAAGACCTTCCAAAGACATAGCCAGCCCTATCTGTTGTCTGATATGCATTAGTGTGCGAACGTTGAAGGAAGCCAGCTTGAACGGCGTACGTGGTTTCAGAAAGACTGCCTCAGTATTCATTATCGGTGGAAGCATTCACTTTCAACCAGACAGTGACTGGAGATCGTTTAGATAGGACAGATTTTCCACCATGGGCGAGCTGCTGCATAAGTTGAAAAGTAAGGTTACACAAATTGGGGATAAAAGGGGGTGAGTTAGCGATATGGTGAATAATAATAATAATAATAATAATAATAATAATAATAATAATATAGGTAATAATAATGATATTGTAAATTGTCTTGCTTTTAGTATGAGCAGGGATATTATCGTCAATAGAGTTCATC